TACGAACCTATAGAAACATCAAAACGGGAGCAGGTGCCATGGAGGGGTAAGCATCCCCTGTCGACCAGTCACACCCGCCATGTGCTTCTTGTCATGATCAGGTTAACTGAGAAATCTGTGGACTATTCAGTTTGAAAATAATGGCCTAACAAAAAGTATGAACTAATAAACCAGCGAAGATTATGTGACCCTCGATGTTTTAGTAATTTGAAGAATTCTGTTTAATAGAATCCACAGGGGACTAAATGCTTGTGTGTGTTTGTTTTTAATGAACTTTTTTCTTTATAAATTGAGATATTAGTTTTTGGAATGGAAAATAAACTTGTTGAAATTGATTGCAAAACTCCAGTTTGTTAAGGTTAGGAATTGTCTATCTTCCTTTATTTATTTTTAGAATGTAATCATAATTAGACACCAAAAATCAAATATATTACATTAAATGAAAAAGGTGAAGAGGACGTACAGTGATCTACCACCTACAATATGCCTAAAACAGATATAACCATTACCTATAATATGTCGCCGTGTATTTAACATGTATTTTCCTATTCTACTTTTTTCATAGACTTTTGTTACGGTTATAAGAATATTGATTGTCATGAATGAAGTAAGTAATCGATCCATTGTAATAAATGGACTTCAGAAACTTTCGAATAGTATTTAAATCACAAAACAAATACTGCCTTTAGAATAAACGTTAAATGATATTTTCTTATTCTATTAGTCTCCTACCAGTGAAACCGTAGGGGATTGTAGGTTTCCCCTCGTCTGTCTGTCATTCTTGTCCCTCTGTCTGTCCAACCTTGTTTTCCGCAATTTTTTGGTAAACGCTTGCAGGTATATAGCTGATTTTTGGTATGTGTGTCAATCTTGATGAGTTATAAAGTTTGCATTTTATTCCTCATTAATGATTTTTGACGGAATTACGGTCTTTTATTAATTTTCAAGGGGAACCAGAATGCATTTGTCAGTTGGGGACTAGTATTGCATATTGCAATACTCTCAGAATGTTTGTTATTTATGCATAAGTACAGTGGTGGTTGTTTGGGGGTATTTTTCATTCGGAATATATGGAAGTGAATTGTCCATAACAGAAATGCTATTTCATGTTCTAAACCAATTAAATCTTTGATTTATGAACCGTTTTCAATCCATTCATGGACAACTTAAGTTGTATTAGAGTTCAAATAAAATGGACATTGTAATTTGACTGTAAATTTGCTGCTTGAATTCGATTAAGAATACTCTTTCTTTGTTTTTATCATAAATTTGCATGTATTTGCTTAATGATGTGAGGTTGTTTAAAGTCCATTGTGTAAATGTATGAAATCTTCTAGGTAAATTATTGGCTGGCAACATTGTGTTATAAATCGAGAAGTTCGCTGGATTAGTATGGTCTGAACTATTCATACTTGAAAAACAGGATTGCTTCCTCTTGCGGGTTCTATATAACATTCACTAAACTGTTTTGTCACATTTGAATCTTCATAAGGGCTTCTTATTATTTACAAATAAGTATCTTTTCTCTGTATTCTCACTAAATCGTGTTAGAGATGTATAATTTACTATGTGTCACTGGAGGTGTGAAACTTTTTCTTTCGCTTAACACCTCCGGGTCGATTTTTTCAGTCCACAATGAAGAAGAAAATTCAATCTAGTCTTTACAAATTAGACCGTCACTGGACAGACCGGCAAAGATTTTACTGAAGGTGCGAAGATTACAATCATATAATATACAAACTAATTCACAAGAGTAAAAAAATGAATGGATGGAAAGAAAGAAAGAAACCACAACCATTACCAACACCACCATAATCACTACCACTACCATCACCAACACCATTACACCACTATAACTACAATCATTACCGAAGCTATTACCACCACTATCACCAAAAGCATTTCCACTACCACCAAAGCCACTAACACTACCATCACCATAACACAACTATAATCACCATAACGACCACAAACACGATTACACTACTAAAACCACATCTATATCACCTATGACCACAAGCATAACCACAACTTTCACAGCCATGATTTCTGAATGAGTTAAAACAAGTAACGACTGAAGAATCATACCTTACAATAGAAATCGAACACGTTTATATTTTAAATTTGTTGTTTTGGATGGAATTTAAATACCAATAAGAATAAGTTCTTCGATTGAGGTGCCTTTCTTAATTATAAATTTAACTTTTATTTATTTATCTTAACTTATATCACGATTGTTAAAATAAATGATCCAATTTATACGGAAATGCGCAGTTATAACAACAAGGTGCTGATAATCATTAAAAAGTGAAAGAATTAAAGAGAGACTGTACCTAAGAAAAAAAAATGCATTACGATAGTTAAAATTGCAATATTCCATTAAATTAATGCTATAAGATATATTGAATTTCTCTACTAGCTTCCTTTAATAGAATTCAGAGTATAAATTACGTGACACAATAGCTGACTGAGATTCGAAAAATCTTGATGGTCAATATATCAATTCGACTTAGTAGGACAACTTGATCCCAATTAAATCCATTGATAATCTCGACAGCCACGCAAAATGTAAAGGAGTTAAAGGAATACATGTCCCACTTCACGCGGACTACGAATCACTGACCTTTTAACACGAAGATGTTGAAAACCGGAAGCGTAATCAAAGAAATAAAAAAAAAATCAAACAAAATTCAAAACAAGTTACGGCTGAAAAAATGTGACCAATATGTGTCATTTTAATGATTAATAAATTTATGAACATGTAGATTCACTTTCTGATCATATAAGTTGCTCACACTTTGATTTAAAGCAGCAGTCAAATAGATTCAAACATCAACAAAGTATTTACTCCTATTTTTGGTTACGTACTTACATGAACTATGAAGAAAATGAACAGCAATCAAGCTTAAAAGTCCATTGGAAAAGTAAAAATCGGGAGCAGAGCAAACCGGACCTGTAAAAATAACAGATGTAGTATCAGGTGCTACGGAGTCAGCATTTCCTTAACGTCCGCCGCGTGCCCCCTGCCAAGATCGGGCGAACAGAAAAATCTGTAGACAATTCAGCGTGAATACATATGTATAATGGCCTACCAATTTATATGTATTATGTCAATCAACATTCGTCTTAACGAAAGATTGTATTTGCTAAAAAGGTAATTGTATCGACCATAGAATTTGCCAAAATGTTGACTTTAAACAAGACGGTTGATATCCTTGTATCATCAACTTATTTGTCAATAGCTTCCATCGTTTTAGAAATCGTTCATAGGTAGAGCATGCTCTTGCGTATTGAATCAACTGGGAGACATAAACTCCATGGTATATTACTACATAAATAAGAGAAGTTGACGATAGAAAAATTAAAGTCATCATGTATATCATAAAGTTTTGTTTTTGGGTTGCCATTTATGTCTTTTTCGAGTAAAACATCAAAATATGAAGCAAATGTGTAAGACTCTGTGGTGTCTTTTAATTCGAGTTCAAAGGGATATATCGAATCAACGTAGGAATGAAAATGAATATTGTTGATTGAGAAAAAGTCGTCGATATATCTAAATGTCGAATTCAAGCCAAAGCAAGAGACTTTTTCTTTTCATGTTAAAGTTTTTGAATAAATTCTGCTTCATATGAATTCAAAATAGTCTGTTATAACGGGACACATTTGCACTCATGGAATTTCCAACAGTTTGTTGGAAGACTTGATCTCCTATAGATATCTAGATATTGTCAATTAGAAGCTCAAACATCTTTTTAATATCATTTTCGGAGCATTTGTGTACGATTAGAATGTTTTAAAACAAAGTAATTTTGCGAAAGACCAGTGAAAAGGTATGTAAATCTACGAGCTTGTTTTTTTTTCTTTATTGAAAAAGCAGTTGTCTGTGATGTCAAAATGCCTGGACTTTAATTTTTCGAGGGGAATGATTGTGTAAAGTGTTGAAAAGTCGTACGTTTTGATGTCATTGGTTTTGGTAGAATTTTGCGATTTCAAACTTTCTAAAAGTTCCTCAGAGTTCTTGAGTATCCACATTTGATTAAAACCACTTAACAAATATGTTGTTGTACAGTACTGCATGTCGCTTACTGATTTTTATTTCAAAATTAAAATACGTACATATAGTCGTGCCTTTATTTTAATTTTCAATTAAAAAAAATCAGTTAACAACAGTACTCCTGAAGTCTCTCTTTCACTCCTGTTAATATTTTGGTGAGGAGCAAAAAAAGGGCTTGATAGAACATTTGCTGAGGCGTGCTATGTATCTTATGTTTGTTATCTCGTAGATTGTCAGCTGAAAACTTCATTCTTTCATACTTCATAAACTCTTGGAAATAAAGAAAGTACACTCTTTCGAAAGTTTTGAATTTAGCAGAAATTTCCGAATATAGCTTACGTTCAAGAACGCAGTACAAGTGAATAAGGTGCAGGGATGGATAAGTTGAATGAAAGAGTGGCAGGAATGGATAATGTATAAATAAGGTGCAAGTAATAAAATGGTGTGAATAAGGTGTAATTATAACTTCATTATTAAACAAAGAATCAAGATAGTCAGAAGACAGGTTCTGCATGTATTCTTTGTAAAAAACTGGAAAGTTTCACAATCAAATAAGATGAGAACATATTAATTTATTTCAATCGCCAATTTTAAAACAACGTACTTCAAATCAATATAAAATTCTGGAAAATAACTATTAGTTTTCTTATAAGTAAAACACGCTTATAATGAATTGACACTTACTTGATTTTCTTTCCACGTGACTGTAAAATATATTGTGAACTTAACTTCTTGTAAAGAACAATATTTTATGATTGTTACAAATTGAAATTTTGAAAAGAAAAAAAAATAACTTAAAATTTCAATGGTAAGTCGGATATCCTCAACACTTTTTAGGGTAATTAATCCTCTCATCCAATATCAGGGTTTTTTTTTTATTTTGCCACATAATATTATAAGAGTAGTATTCTTACATGTTATCATTTAATAAAAAAAACCACAAAGACAAGATTACACCAGCTTTATTTGCCAGAAGTACACTGTTGGTGGCAAAGAGAGACAGTTTCACCCATTTCTATTCAGATCGTCAACACAACTTTCAAGTAAAACAAAAAAATATCAACAGTAATTTAAAACAAATAAAATTCACATTTACTATATATGTTTTTTTCAGCCTCTTATCTGGACCATGAAATCGTTTTAATTAAAACAAACATGTCCAAAATATTTGAAAAAGGTAGATAATTCAAAATCATAAAGTTCGACAACTCTTATAAGAAATCGACAATTCTAAATAGAAATCGGTATGGGACCAATTGTTTTTCTCTCTCTTACGAACTCATACATAAGGCACAGTATACAATTACGCTGAAATTTACATGAAGCGAACAATGGACAATGATGAAACTGATGACATTCATCGCTGAGACAATGAAGATATCCATCGCCCATACATCTTCTCCGCCAAACACTTAGCAAAAAAATAAAACACTTTGTTTTCAATCGTACAATGTAACCTAAAGAATGGCCGTCATGAATGACGTATCACTCAAATAAAAGAATAAGCAAAATAAAACGAGATTCTCAGCATATCTTAAAAGTTTTAAATGCCCTATTATAAAAATAACTGTCGTTCAAATAATACATCCGGATTTATTTGTTACTATTTTGATAACTTGTCAACCGTTATTCCAGAATTGTGAGAATTCGCTGAAATTGAGTCGGGTTTGGTATCTCTCTTTTTCCTAACTGCGCAATACTGCAAAAGTTCGAAATAATCGCAACTGTGATAACAACATTCGCACACAATGCCTGTATAAGTATTTCGCTTGGTTCGGGAGTGCTCGTTTGATAAATACATAGAGGCCTCTCTTTTGCCGAGGATTAGTCCTTCTAAAGGCGAATAACGTGGGAAATCTGCAATAAAAAAAAAAGAAATTCAGCTTAAAATATGATTCATGTTAAATATTTCTAAAAATGTTTAATGTTCATTAGCAATTATCCTCCCTTTTTGGTTCATTATGAGAAAAAGGTCTCTGCCTCTTTTATTAAGAGACAAAGAGATGCTAGCGTGATAGCAATAATAACGGTTTTGTGCCACGGCGCGGTGAAAGACTACCATCTACCGGTCCAAGATCAAGGTAAGTGACTGACCAGGTGGTGGGTGTGTTAGATTCGAATTAAATATTTATTTCAAACAACTCTATTTTCACTCATTAGTTAGCGTTTCCATATTCATGAAAAGTCAATATGAATAATATTTGTACGTACTTGAATAAGACAAATAACAGAGTGAATAAAAGACTAGTTATTTTAATTTCTGTATAAAATCATTGTTTCTGATCATTTGCTTTCCTACATTATACAATGCTAATACAGGTGCATTTAAAATTCTCTATCTTTAATATTGCTATTCTGAATTCCCTTATGCGTTGAAGTGGTTTGATCTTCCTGACTTTATGTTAAATAAAAAATTCCACCTGGAACTTTTGGATATGTTTTAAATTACATTTCCGCATTTCGATATATCGACGTTTGATTGTACATGTGTATTGTATGTACACGTCACTGAATATTCATTACAACATTTGCGCAATATTTTTATTGCGTGCTTATCATAAAGAGATCGTTTACCCTATGTAAAGAAGAGTTTGCCTGCAATGCAATTTGCTAACAAAGACCTCGATTTCAATTTTTATATATTAAGCAGTTTCTAACATAAATTCTTATGGAAATCGTTTGTACATGCAGTGAAGTGTTTTTACTTACCAACATTATTTTCTTGTTTATGGGAACGTGATGATACATCACGCTTTGCATGTGAGGGTACGTAATATTCCCCATCACATACCAAATGGAGCATTTCCGGTATCATGCCTCCACATATTCCTTCCGGATCCGGTCCCCGCTGCTCGGTCCGTGAATCGCACACACGCTCAAAGTATGAATGTACAATAGTGAAATGTAGACACAGGAGTATAAAAATTTGATGTGTCCGTTTTACTGGCATGTTTTCCCGCATGGTGCACTGTGAAAAAATAAATTTTAATCATTTTTATGCAAACACAAGGGAGTAGTGATGACGTAGTATTTTTATGCGTGCGCAGAATCTGTGCGTGCGATAAAAGATGAACGTTCTTACGGTATACATTTTATTTCTAATTCAACACTGCAGAGAATTTTTTCAAAAAAAAAAAATTCAAAGCATGCAGCTGACTTGGGAGTAATAAAGTTGAAAAAGCGAAGCTGACTGAAGACCTGACTGTTCAACTACCTAGACATGACTTAACATTTTGCTTCAGTATACTCTGTTGCGATAAAGCAAATATTATAAGTTTTGATACGTTTTCTCCTTTTTTTAAATAAAAAAAAAACAATGACATATGTATGGGTTGATTTCAATTACTGTATGTTAATTATGCCTATACACTTCTCAACGGAAACTTGAATTAAATCGATCTTCTTATCACAAAATATGTATTTACAGGTATTTATTAAATGTATACTAAAGTCTTCCTCACTTATCACCAAATCAGAACGGCAGAGTCGTGTAATGAGGTAACAACAGATAAGCAATATATATACATTGACGGTGAAAGACCCTGAATAGAGGGTAATCTCTGTGGAATATTTGACGTGCATTAATTGTATTATTGTTATTATTGGGTTTTTTTTTTTTACAGAAATATATTCCTAATTTTCTGAGATTAAAATAACACATACAAAATATGATTTGCTTTTTATTTTATTTTATTTTTTTTAGCGATATATTCCTAATTTTCTGAGATCAAATTAACGCCAACAAAATATTATGTGCTTGTTTGATATATAGCTCTTATGGTTGCATATCAGAGAGAGAGAGAGAGAGAGAGAGACTAATCAGGGCTGCCATTGGCCTCAATAGAAATTCAATCATAAGACCTTGATAGTTTGAACAAGTTCAATTTGTTCCTGCTGTGGAAACTAATTATCCTTACAAAGCTTCGGAATACAAATTTTGACAGTTAAACGACTCAATGAAACTTCTGATATCAGTTGGTTCTGTGTAGAAATTTCTATTGTATAAGAAGAGAGCGTAAACATTATTTGGTAGCGATTACAAAAAGAAATTGATGAATAATTATACTCTCAATATTTAAAGAATGTCGATTATTAACCCACTTAAATTGTATTTTTTTTAATTTTCATTCATTGATAGATCGAAAAACTATTACAAGGGGAAGAGAGAGAGAGAGAGAGAGAGAGAGAGAGAGAGAGAGAGATGCTTCAGTTTTTAAAACGATTTTTGTAAAATAGATTTAAGAATAATGATCCGCTCCCTAAAAGTCTCTGAGATAATTCTTAATTTGTTCTATTTGGACAGGGGTTTGACTTTTATATAAACTTCACACAGAACAAGTATTGACATAACGATAAAGGCTCATGGCCAAACCCTTCATCTCTCCTTCACAAACAGCAAGGCTATCATGTCGTTTCGACCCACAACTTTGGGGTCAACGAAGGGCGTAAAGGTAAAATGTCCAAAGTCAGCAGAAAAATATTTTTTGTAATTTCTAATTCTTTTAATTAATTTTTGCAAAATTTTACTACTGAAGTCTCTTTTATGCAAATAATAAAATTTGTATTATTTTCTTACCAACAGGAAACTAGGAAATTATATCAGATGGAATATTTCCCCTTCCTGTTCCTCTTAATTGCATTAATCTTTTGCTAATCCGATTAAGAAAAACATAAGTCAAAACACTAGTACACAAACAACATATCTTATTTGACCCCTGCCGAGGAGGAAAACAACAAGAGCTTGGCAAAAAAAAAAATCTCGCAAACGAAAAAGAAAAATGAATAGAAAAAAATATATATATATGAAAAAAAAAAACCTACCCAGTCTTTGTAAGACATAAGTCTGTTCGGTGCGCCTCCTCCTCCTAGGGACAGTCTACGACATTAGAGGATCCCGAATGGAGGGGACCTCTCCACTCCGATGTATCTCCTGCGCGTGCTGAGCAACGAAAGACGGAGAGAAGCCGCGGCAGTCGATTCTAATAATCCTTACCAGACGCGTGATCAAGCCTGGATATATATCTAATGTCTAAAAGATTATTGGAAACAAAGAATTACAATACTCCGAACTCCGTAGACGGAATCAGACTCCAGAATGAAGAAATCTAGACGATTAATTATATAACACTCTTTTTCCACGCCCTTACAAAACAAGACATCCAATATTTTTCTTTTGAATAGAAATTATCGACTTTTATGAATTCCCTTTGATTGAAGAAAAAAAATATCTTCCGCTTTTAACACCCTCAGAAAAACGGACAGAAGGGATGAGAAAGAAGAAACTTCAGTCTTGTCACTTTTATAGCTCATTCAATGATTAAATACGCGGCTTGATATTGGATATTTGTACATTTAAGATATGATTGTTTAACATTTAAAATCGTATCATTTCTGTCCTTGCTACTATTTGTATTCTGACGAACTTTCAAAATTTTGAATACCTAAGAACTTGTGTTTGCCTTAAGTTAGACCTTTCGTGTTACGACATATCCAGGTAAAAATTTTCTAGAAGATAAGGGTTTCTTCAATTTCTTCATTACATTAAGAAAGCTTGAAGCTCTAAGTTCGTTTTTTTTTTTAAACAAAATTAAGAAATAACAGATTTACCCTTGATTCATCATTTATTTGAAATGTCGGAACCAAAAAAATCAGAAAAATCTTGAAATGAAGATATATTTTTTGCATATAAAAATGTGCAAATATTTCATTCGAACAACATTCAGTGAAATTTATTCGCGACATTTTAACAGCAAACGGCTAAATATCAAAATCATTAAACATAGAAATAATTATTTTTGATCACGATATATGTTTACTATTCCTAATGGCAACCAAATGTCTATTATTTTCGGCCTTGAATTAAATTGTCGTTAAAACAAACGTCATGACTTTTTCCCAACATTATTATAAATGATCGACCGTAACTCGGGGAAGATTAGGGACTATACAAGGAGGGGGGGGGCATCCTCAGATTTTTTTTATATCATCCCATGCAATATCTTAAAAAAAATATGCCAAATTATATGGGTTTAAAACCCACCAATGCACCCACCACACCCCCGCTCCTCGGCCCTGCCAAACACACGCACCGACAAATGTAAGTTTATATATTTTTAGTGGCTACCTCGCTTTAACACACCCTACCGAATAAATACCACACTCACCACAAAACCACTGCTCTTTATTACTACATGTATATATCTGCAAAATTTTCAAAAAGCTGTTACCTTCTTTGTATTACTTTCTTATTTAACTTTTACAGAGTCCTTATGCACGAATCTGTACTTTTGATTTATATATTGGCCGAAGATTTAAAGATCTTTTTTATAAAATCTTTGGGATTTTTTTTTTCATTTGCTTTTGCTATATGGAGGATATTCAATGTTTTGTAGATGAATATGGAATTTATTTCACGAGTGGGACAGGATTTTTTGATATTTTCACGAGTGCGAAGCACGAGTGAAAATATCAAAAAATCTTATCTCACGAGTGAAATAAATTCCATATTCATCTACAAAACATTGAATTTTCTGTTCATTACATTTTCTTTGATTTCCCTTTGCCTCTCTCTTTTCTTAACACAGTCATTGTCAGTGTCATAGCTAGGCTTGACGTCGTAGTTGAGCGGTTGAAACGTCATAGCTTAGCAGTTGTGAGATTGAAAACATTACATAGCATGGATTTTAACAACATATTTGGGAAGAAATTTGCAGTTTTAGCTCTATTAAGATGTTTAGTTACTATGTCTATCTCATGACACGCCAGAAATTATTTTTACTTACTTGCCTTTCACACTGTGAGAAAATATCATTTTGGTATCCTTTCACACTGTGAGAGAATATCACTTTTATTCAATAAATAAATCTCAGTATTTCACTGTTGAAAATGTAATAAATCTTAATTGTTATCTCATTTTGAAATCACTGGACGAATTGCAATCAAAATTGCTATAACGTTTAATTGGAAAGAGGGAAGCTCAGTATGATTGCGCTTCATTTCAAAATGAACGTACGAAGACCATGCCCAGACCATGAACAGAGAAAAAATAAGTTCAAACAATACCCAACAACCCAATAACATAATAATTACATGTATCAGTTATTTCAGCACAAGCATTGGCCGTTTGGAACAGGGAAAAGCGGGGGGGGGGGGTATTTTGCCAGCATAAACTATACAAACCAAATGGAAAAAGACCTTCTATATTAACGACTGATGACTTTTTTGTGCCTATCAAAGAATTTCTGTTCGTTAGTGCCCCCTCTCCCCTATATATACTGAAATTGTTTCTTACTTGCCTAAAGCAGTCAGGGAATGAATGGTCTATATGTCACCAGATATTCAATAATATCGAAAAAAAAACAGTTTACGTGAATATCTACATTTAACACGGAGACAAACAAGCAGCATTGCTTTAGATCTTTAATATATCGGTGTATTAACCGTATAACTCTTTATCGTGTGAATTGCACTATAAGCATTTTCATCACCATATGACCACCAGGTAGAAGTCACATTTGGCCAAGCTTTCTTGACAACTGTCGTGAGAATGTCATATTGCTAGTTACGAAGAGAAAAATTACATAATAAACCGAATAAGATGATTATAATCATCTCAAACAGCCTGGACAGATAGGTAATTGTCGCCATTCCTATAAAGGAAAATAACATTACGAGGTCAATATTTCCCAAGATCTGAAGTTAATTCACTCTGACTTGAAAATTATAAATATCAGCTAAATAAATTACTTACTGCAGAACTGTGGGGGAGGGAAATTTCGTGTCCCTTCCCTCCCCCTCGATTTATTTGGGCAATATTCATGTATGCTAAAAATAGACAATCCATGATAATTAACGTTGTGTCCCCTGAATAATATCCATGTAGTATGATGCCCTTTTTTGCTTGTCATTGTATTCCGATTGCATATGCCCAGGCACGTACGTGTATATTTTTTTGAAAAAGTACTAGTGGGCGTGGGGCTGGGGTGGACAAAACATTTGACAAACAAAATGCTGCTATATGCAAAATCAGTTAAATTTCTAATATCATTTCATGTGCTTCTTTTGCATTTGCAATTTCACGGAGACAAGAAGCTTTACACTATATAATGTACATATGTACATCGCGCTATCTAAATGTTGTTTCGTTCAGCCGATGCGACTTTTTTTTCCCTCGTCATAGTTTTTGCACTTCTCACTTCAATATATATCTACGTGTGGTGAAAAACGTCTCCATACTTTTGTGTCTTTCAGATCATCCATTATCTTTTAAATGATCGTGTCGTTTAAAACAACGAGTAGGCCCTGATTACAATCATTTTATTATGCTATAATTGGAACTACAAAAGTACATAGGGGTTAATGGGAATTCGTCTTAAATGGAAAAACCAATTTCCCTTGAGTTTTATTTATAATGTCCTATAACCCGACCCTTTCAGGTTTGTTCCATCTCTTTTTTCATTCGAATTCGTCGCAGCTGTATTTCAAATGTATATTGCATGGAGAATCTCCGAGAAAATTAAAAGTATTATACAATTATTGCTGGTTTTTGAGGTCAATACGATGATTTAGACACCTGAGGAGTACAATATTCACCGAGCCCGAAGGGCGATTTGAATATTGTACTTCGAAGGTGTCTAAATCATCGTATTGACCTCAAAAAACAGCAATAACTGTTTTATTATATGATTAAATGATAGCAAACTCCTACAAGACTTTTTTTTTTTTTTTTTTTTTTTTTTTTGCTTTAATTGAAAGTTTTAACGAGAAATTTCAACAAGAACACATTGTAACATGAAAAAATGGAACAGGAATAATTCATTATATTGACCTGCAATAATTCCTTATATTGACCTGGAAGGTCACGTGATTCATTATATTGACCTGCAATAATTCCTTATATTGACCTGGAAGGTCACGTGTAGGTCAATATAACGTAGTATTTTTCTAACATTGTTGGATCTCAGCCAATCAGAAAGAGGGAAATTATTCAATCATATAATAATATACAATTATTGCTGGTTTTTGAGGTCAATACGATGATTTAGACACCTGAGGAGTACAATATTCACCGAGCCCGAAGGGCGAGGTGAATATTGTACTTCGAAGGTGGCTAAATCATCGTATTGACCGAAAAAACAGCAATAATTGTTTTATTATATGATTCAATGATTAAATGACACACATTCATTAAGCAATCCGTGCCATCTTACTTGTTCACATCTACTGAAGTACTAGCCGAATATCAGAGAAACAGAGTTAAAAAAAAAAACAGTTGTATTATTTTGAAATTTTTAATTCTAGTTTAGGTGCAATGTAGAAAAATAAATGTCAGGCACATATATAGGATTAATTTTGAAAAAGGGGGCATTAAAAAGAAAAAAAAATTGACAACGTACCTGAAAACAAATCTTTGACTAGCCCCCCCCCCCCCCCCCAAAAGGAATAGAATTCTCTCAAATCAAAATTTTATTTGGTGGGATGTAAAGGTACATAAACTTTTCGAGGGGAGGGGGGCTTACAATGAAATTTTTTATCCTTAAAATTTAAATTAAAACTTAACATTCTCAAAAGGTGGGGAGAGGGGCAGGAATCCTGCCCCCCCCCCCCCCCCGACCCCTCACCCAAGAATCTATGTGCCTTAATTTTATGTTCATATGAGTGGATGTCATATGCAAGTGAAATAACTTTCCAAAACTATTTGCATTAATTTGGAATTTCCCTATCTATTTTTAGTCCAATGTAGAATAAATAATTCCTTATATTGACCTGGAAGATCACGTGCAGGTCAATATAATGTAGTATTTTTCTAACATTGTTGGATCTCAGCCAATCAGAAAGAGGGGAATTATTCAATCATATAATAAATGTGTTTGTTATATAGCAGGATTAAGGTTGTATTAACAAATTCTACAATTGTTCTAATTTTGTACGTTTATAAAAATATATTTATTTATGCAGAAAAAAATTCAGTGATTTCAAGATCTGTAGCTTGATTACTTCATTAAATCGTTAAATTCTTGCACATTATTATCCATTTTTAGACTCCTTATTTTGAGAAAAATTTCTGTTACACGTATGC